TGCATTTATGTAATGTCGCTTCTGAGAATCTGGAGGTTCATCAAAACAACTACCCCTGCTGATGATTTGCTTTATTCTCGCCACCTACTGCTTGAAAATGAGTTGATTTTGTGAGGGGAAATAAGATCTTGATCAGACTCTACTTACATTGTACTGCCCTATCTTGGTTGGAGTAAATCTCAAGTGATAAAGACCATCAGGTTCTTTCTGGAAAGTGGATTTCACTGTGTTACCATCCGGGTCATACACGGCAGCCGATACTTCGTCAACTTCTGCTGGGATTTCCATTGGTACGTCCACCTCATACCCCACGTGATAACGAACTCCTTCCTGGCAGGGGAGGGGAGGAGAGACAGGTTACTAAGATATACAGAAATGGAAAAATAGCCCAGCGGTACTCCCAGAAAAATTGGTTGGAGGTGTGCGGCCTGTTTTCCAAGATGTTAACCCTATTAAGACGAAAATCTGCGATTTTCCCTACCCCATTTCTGACTAAAACGGCTAAAGAGCCATACCCTTTGGGGCCGCACATACCTATATAGCCCACACAAGAAAGTAGCCACCGGAGGGGAAGGATGGGAGTTGATTATACAATAAGAATAGCACGTGGAAGCAGCGAGGATTTTGATGATCAAAGGACATCGATGTATCTCTCTTACACAACCCCCAATGCAACAANCACGTGATAACGAACTCCTTCCTGGCAGGGGAGGGGAGGAGAGACAGGTTACTAAGATATACAGAAATGGGAAAATAGCCCGCGGGTACTCCCAGAAAAATTGGTTGGAGGTGTGCGGCCCGTTTCCCAAAATGTTAACCCTATTAAGACGAAAATCTGCGATTTTCCCTACCCTATTTCTGACTAAAACGCCTAAAAAGCCATACCCTTTGGGGCCGCACATACCTATATAGTCCATACAAGAAGTTAGCCACCGGAGGGGAAGGATGGGGGTTGATTATACAATAAGAATAGCACGTGGAAGCAGCGAGGATTTTGATGATCAAAGGACATCGATGTATCTCTCTTACACAACCCCCAATGCAACAAGAGGTTACGTGTACAGACTTAGATTCCTGAGCAAATCCTCTGGTCGATGCTTTGCTTTCTTTTAGCTTCTTTTCGTCACATGCCTGTAAAACAACGTCTCGCTGTCTCGATATTGTAAGAAGAAATGACAGGCTCAAACTATTGATTACCGCCTTCTCTACAGTTCTTCATTCTTCAACGCTTAATGGAATGGGAATATAAGACCTCCTCTGACTGCAGGTGTGGGTACCAGTCCAGTAGCTTACCTGTTTCTCGAACTCTTTTAGTTTTACTGACACTGCCTCCGCTTCTGAGATTTTCATCACAAAAGGACTGTTTTCTATGGATTGTCCTCCGCAGCGCACATCAACCGTATAGCGACCGGGTTTGTAAGGAACGAACCTAAAGCATACACAATACGTAAGAACTCTTGGCAGAGTGAAGGTAGACTCCGAACCTACTTTGATTCTACATCACATACAGGGAATTACTTAGACCTTAAACAGAAATCATTCAGTTTTCCAGCTACAGTCAAACCTGTATTAAGCGGACCCCATATTAGGTGGACACCCTCTATAAAGCGGACAGCAGTGCAAGTGTCATATCTCGTTTTCCGCATTTTTACTGTAAAAAATATCTGTATTCAACGGGCACTTCTATTAAGCGGTCGTAGACACCTTAAACTTGACTTTTATGGTCATTTCTATTGTTAGAAACCTGTATAACCGGACACTGCAAAATGGATACATGTTTTTTTGTCCACGTTTTAATAGATCGGTCATTTAAGTTTGCCGACAAACAGCTGTCACAGAAATGTGATATTTTATATAATTCGCTATCGTTTTTACAGAACATTTGTTCTTGTTTGATTTTGTGCCGAAACGTCGCATAATTCGAGCAATATAGATACTGTTGCTGTATTCTTAAATCGCTTTACTTCATATACTTGTCATTGTTCATGGAAATACGGTATTTCAGAGTTATCAACCGTTAACAAGAATGCTATTTGACCCTTCCAAGGCCTTTTAATACTGAAGAACATTAATGACCCTTTTACGACGAATTCTGAGGGAACCTGTTTTCAGCGGACACCCTCACGGGTCCCAAGGGTGTCCGCCTAATACAGGTTTGACCGTACTAAGATAATGTTTTTCTGTCCTTTCAAACAAGGATTCGAAGGTTTCAATAGATTTACAACAACTCTTGTTTAAATTATAGAGAATTTTTTTTAAAATTAGTGTGACTTAGTGTGACTTAGTGTGACGGGAAGTCACCCAGTGTTTTTACAACGTCACGCAACACATGCGATTGTACCTCACGTGGTATAAGCCGTCTGGCTCAAGGGTCAGTGTTGAATGCACGGGTTTGCCATCCTCGTCCTGAACAGAAGCAGAGATTTCGTCGACTTCTTCTGGGACCTCTATAGGAACATCAACCTAAAACCAGAGGTAATATATAGATCACTAATTATTCACATTCTACTCGAAAAAAAGCAGTTTATTTAATATATGATTTTCATGGACGCTGACGTATAACAGGATATTTGCAACAGAACCAAAGAATCTGAGCATCCTATTGTTAGAGTATCCCGTGTTATTAACGGCAACCTTGAAAGATTACCTTGAAGTGGAAATTACAACTGAAATTACGAACCTCTTTTCGTGCGGAATACCCAGTCCTCATCTGCTCCATTTCCGTCACCTTGACCTTCATACTGGTAGAGTCCCGGATGCGGATGACGTATGGGCTGCTGGATACCTCCTTGCCGCCATACTTGACCATCACTCTGTGTTCTCCTGTCTGACGGGGTACAAACCGGATGTGATGGTACCCATCGTCCTCCTTCGTCACGGTGGACGGGACACTGGACTCGTCAGGGCCCATAACGGCAGCCTCTAGCTGGCCCTCTCCAGCAGAGCTAGGCACCTGCACAGGTATGTCCACCTCGTGACGCACTGTGAAGCGCTTCGGTGCGCGCTCCAACTGATGCGTTTCCAGGGTGACCTGACGGGGATCTGCCACCTAGTAACGAAAAAAGTCTAAGAATCGTTCCATGTCTTCATTTTGTCTCCGGACGCCGAGTGGTGAGGTATGCAAAAAACATATAAATTGAGCCTAATATTAAAGCAACTTTCAAACGACTTCCACGTAAATGGGATCTTCTTGTGCTTAAGTTTGTCCCATACAGTGATCTACATCCACTCGCGTAATCTTTGTCCGTCCTCATTTTTTTGTTAACTCTTTTCATTTCTCGAGAACTGTTCTTCGAAATCAAACCATAATTGTGGGTTACTGTTGAACTAGGCACGTTTTCCAGCTTCTCAAAATGATCCCAACATTTCCCCCAGGAACATGGACGGGGCGGGGAACTACTAACAGCCTTGCAAGTAAATGTCTTACCTTCACTATGTACGGGCTGCCTTTAACTGGCTCCCCAGCGAAGTTGATATGAATTTTGTGCTCACCCACACCCCTGGGCGTGTAGCGCACAATATAGGTGTCCTTCTCCTTAGGAGACTGTAGTAAATCCACAGGAAAGTGCCCGTAAGGTGCCTCGCCGTACACCTTCAGTTCTCCGTCACCGGCGCCGTGAAGAGAAATGAAAAACTCTGCTTCAGTGTCGGTGGTGACCTGGAATGACATAAGACAAGATAAGATAAAAAATACAATTGGGCCAATCTCGATCCCAGGTCTCTCTCCAAAGGAGAGAGCCTGGGATCGAGGTTGCGATTGGGCAAAATAGACTTTTTTTCAAAAAACAACATTGTAAAATGATCGATTTCCGACAAAAAACCGCGATAATGTGCGGTAGATCTTCACCACTTTGGACTTCTATTTTGCTTTTTTCTTATTAATCTTTAGTTCTTAGGGCATGGAGCATTGTTTTTACTCCTTATCTATTGTTTATAAGAAATAGGTACCCAAAGGGTACATGTGGGGGATACACAACTCCTTTGCATTAACGGACACGAGCCGATATGACCATAGTGTGGGATACCACAGGTATCCCACACTAAAACCTTGTAAGCCTTACAGTTCGCCTCATAATATGTAATGTTCTCTCGTCTGCACCAAGTTGGACTTTTTTACGTGCTCTGGAAACTTTGTTAAGAGTGATGTTTGCCAATCTCATACTGAGGTTCTCTAAGCTACACAACCGGCTGTTTTTGCAGCATTCAAGTTTACGTCGTATCATCGTTAAAAGCGCATGCGCTGTAAATTCTCTCGACTTCACAAATTGATAAGGAAGAAAAACAGACAAGAGCTACTCTAATGATTGTTTGCTATTATTTGTAAAATATTTCTGAAATCTCATTGCATGCACGCCGTACCTGATACAGTCCTTCTCCATGAGCCACAATCTTGTTTGGATCATTCACAATAGTCTTTATTGGACTGCCTGGTATATCGTCTCCATTGAATACAAAGTGGATGTTGTACTCCCCAGGTTTGTTGGGAATAAACGATACATTGTATCGACCCGGCGCAGTCGGGCGCACGTCGACCGGGACATTCCCCGCGGGGCCCCGGCACTGAATGGCCAGTTCCCCTAGCCCCGCCCCGGAAGTGTCCACATCGAAGGAAGCAGGACGTCCTATCAGGGGATTGCGAACAGTTTCTGAAAAAAAAAAACACGCAAGTTTTTAATTAATAAGTAAGCGATCTTTTCCCGCGTCACGCAGTTGGTCTTCTTTCCTCTTCTGAGAGGGCAGATTGTTTGATCGAAGATTGTGTGACAAGAATATCTACTTCAACGCAAACCTCACGCAATCTTAGCGCGCGTGACGAGGTAAAAGAACGTTTGCGTAATTGGCTCTGCGTGACCAAAGTAAAGTAAAGTAAAGAACCGACTCACCGTTTCCAGCTACACTGCACTTTGTCGGGTCTCCTACTTTAGTTGTGAAGGGGCTGCCAAGCAATGGGGTGTCCCCGACCTCAATGCGAACCTTGTGCTCGCCCACTTCCCGAGGGACAAAACTCCCCCTCCATCTTCCATTCCCCAGGGGTTCCATGGTGCAGTGCGCAGTTTTTGTGGGTCCTTCTACCACCGCTGACACCGGGGGTGAGTTGTCGTCCTTGGTTTGAACAATGAACTCTGCCGGCTTGAAGACCACGGCGTGCTTGATTCCCGCTCCAGAAACCTGCACGTCTGCGACATTTTCATGCATCATGACCTTGAATGGACCGCTGGGGATCTCTTTCCCAACATGCTTGATAGAAATCGTGTGAATACCACTTTCAAAAGGAACAAACCGGCATCGAAGAGATCCGTCGGGTTCGGGCTGTGTTTCCACGGGCACGGTCATTTCCCCGCTCGGGCCTCTGACGTCGATACGCACGCCGTCGAATCCAACATCTTTGCGACCGCGAAGGAAAAACTCGGACGTTTTCCCACGGACTCCTCGCTTGATTCCGGCCCCGTCCGCCTTGAAGATGTGCGCATGGCTCTGAAGCTTTTCACATGTACGGAACTGAAGCATGTAAGCCATGATACTAAGCTCGTCTACATCGGGACTCACGAGTTCCTCGGGTGTTACCACTTTTCTCACCCCGAATTTCTCCTCGGCTACGTTCAACGCCAAGGTAGCGTTTTCCAGAGGACTGTTGCGATCGATATTTTCATAATCTGGGATTATCCCAGGGCAAATAGCCTCTAAGTACTGGCACAACTTTTTCCCATCGTTCCAATCCGTGTTGAAGTTACGCACGTTTAAGCCTGGCGCCGACTCATTGATGAACTCGAGAGTTCGCTTCTCTCCGACGGATCCCGGCTGAGTGAAATATGACAAATACGTCATCATACTCAACTCGTCCACGTACGGACTCACGAAGAATTCCGGAGACAACACCTTCGGAATTTTAAAGTTTTTCTCTGCATCGTCCATGGCATTGCTCGTGTTAGAAAGCCGAGCGTCGGGATTAAGACTCTTGTAGTTCGGGCAGAGTCCTGGTTGACAGAATTCGTTAAGCGCGCTTAAAGCGATACCATCATTCCAGTCGGTCGTCACATTTCTGATGTTTATATCGGGAATAGCGTTTTTAAGCCACAGCAGGAGGAGTTGTTTTCCAGATGCGCTGCCACTTGAGCTGATCTGATAATGAAGAATTAACCTCCATATCAGACCCAGAATAAGCTTGACGTTCCCATTGGCGATGTCTTCGTTGCCTAGATAATATAAAGAAGAAAATAAACTCGAAATCTGTCAGTTGATTGAAATGATTTTTTTTGTGTCCCTGTCTTGGCACTTTTGTCAAAGGTGGAGAGAACTATTCATTACGTTAGACATGCTTTCTTGAAGGACAGAATAGACTGTAAGAAACGCCCAAGGAACAATTACAGTGGAACCCCATTAATACGGTCACCAATGGGCCAATTTGACCGTATTAACAGGGCGGCCGTACTAACGCGATAGGGACAGACATTACAGTTGCACATATAAACAACTGTTCTTTAATAAGCATTCGAAATGCAAGGTTTTAAAAAAAAAAATTGAAAATAAACAATGGAAAGATGAACATGACTGGTTCGAGTGGCCGTATTAATGGAGTAAAATTATAGAAGATTATACAGGTTGGGATTTGAGAATGTGGCCGGATTAACGGGGTTTTCTTATAAGAAAATGTGTGGGCATTTTGCCGGAAAAAAAGACTAGTCGTATAAACGAGGTGACCGTAAGGCTGAGGTTTCCACTGTAACACGAAAAGATCGTTCAAATGAAGAATCAGTTAGCTGGAAAATCGTTATTGAAACAACCGAAATGGGAAACCCAGTCGAAGCAACACGTCTGAAGTATATATGGACCAATCAAACTTGGAGCGAAAGCGAAACCCGAGGACGAGATAGAGAGGGCCTGGATACTGTAGCCAACGACGTCATGTAAAGGAGTACACCTCATTTTTATGGAAAAACAGGTCTTTTGAGAGAAAAAAGAATACCTTTGCTGGTATTCCCCTTTTCTAGTTTTTACTGAAATGATCGCAAAATCACTTTACTATTTGCTTCTTCAATACGCGGCCGTTCTGAAAGGCTAATAAAACACGGACTAGTCTTTTCCGCTTTCCCATTTTGTTTGTTGAAAAGTTGTTCCGTTTCACACAAATGGCTCGCGCCCAAGAGCTGGGCGTTGGGGTAGAGATAAATTCCTAACAAAAATTTTAAGGCGTATGGATAGAAAAACAAGTTAAGCCACTCGAAGCTTTGCAAGATGATCTGAGCCAGGGAAAACAGAACAAGACAATTCTACGCTGCGCTTTTTTAGCTATACTTTAGAGCGGGTTACTTGTAACCACGGCGAACAATATCTGCAAGAAACAACGACAATATACGTGAAGATGTACTACCACGAAGTTTAGCGAATAAACGGTCCACCTGTATTTAGCGGCCTTAACCCAATCCCCAAGGTGACGGCTTAGAATACACGTTTGACTGCGTTTTTCTAGCGAAATTACAGGAGGTCTAATTTTCCTAATTTGCAACTGAAATAGAAAGACAAATTTGTTTTATAGTTGAGCCAATATCTCTTAAGTCCCGTCTGGTGCAATATCAAATACGTTTTGGGGCTTTTTAGAGATAAATTAACTTTATTTAAATTGCCAAAGGTAAGGAAAGGAAGTTGTGGTTCCATCTACAGAAAGCGCCACCCTTTGTTTGTATTCGCCGTGAAGAAAGTGCAGTATTCAAGATATGTCGATTGTACGTCTTGCATGTGTTTAATAAAAGACAAAAGATATCAAGTGAGAAACCAATAGTCTCCAATTTGATAGTTTGGTTAAATGTCGAAACAATGGTACCCTATAAATGGTCTGTTATCAAAATGTAAGCTTATATATTTCCTTGGCGCCTGATGATGCTTATAAAAATAACAAGCTGCGAAAATCGATCGTCAAGGTAAACATGTTTCAATACTGCAAGCTGATCGATATATTCAGTGAAAAAAGAAAGCAAGAAAAACTATCTTCTTAATGCATTTTTGCCCACGGAAGGAGGTTTATGACCGCTAAAACGTAAACGGAAAAGATTGGGCAAATGCAACGAAAATTTATGGAATGAAATTAATACCTGCACGACGAAACCGCACATAAATTACCTTTAATTGTTTTCACCTCCCTCTGAAACATAAATTCTTAACTGATTACCGTAGTCTTTTTGTAGCTCCCTTGTCAGCGGTTTTTGTAAATAAAAGTCGAAAGAAAAAGAGCTCTGGAAATATGGGTTTGGCCGAAAACGAAAAGTAAACATTACTAATGGTGAAACTTGTAGACCTATATAATAAATATTTAATGCCTCGAGCATAAAATGAAAGTTTTTAAAGTAGTTCGACCACAATAGAACTTAGT